GTCCGCGAGGCAGTGGGAGGTCCGAGAGGCAGTGGGAGGTCCGCGAGACAGTGGGAGATCTGCGAGGCAGTGGGAGGTCTGTGAGGCAGTGGGAGGTCTGCGATGCAGAGGGAGGTTCGAGAGGCAGTGGGAGGTCTGGTCTGCCTTTGTTGAAAGGGCGGGAGAGTCCCTGATGGTTGAAGATGGCTTGTGATGTGTGTGCCTGGTGATCATGTGTCTAAAGAGCCTGCCTCTGCGCTGGAAGGGCGCAAACATTTGTGGCTTCTGGATGTGGCGATTACAGCACTGATGCAGTGAGATTACAGGGTAACCTCACTGAGGCAGCTCTTCTGGTGCCGTGTGTGCGTGTGCGCACTTGTGACCATAGATCTGTGCTTGTATGTCACACTCTTCTGGCCGTGTGGAAGCAATTTGAGGACAGGTTGAGAAACCAGAACGATATGTTGCCCTTAGTTAGAAGTGGTCAGTGATTGATGTAACCCTTGTGTGAACACCAAAATCATTTTCTGCCTAATTGCAGTGGTTTGGAATCACTGCACAAAGAAACCTGTTATGCCTCAAACATACACATACTTGTTGTCCCAGGGGAAAAAAATACACTGATCACAAAACTGAGCAATTCTTTACTGCATAAAGTGCCATTAAAGAACATTTAGCTAAAATCCTTTTGACATCATTGTGAATCTCTAAAGGTTTCAGGCACCACTAAATGGGACATGGTGTTAGAAGACCAATAGTGAATCTTGCTGTTCACATCCTGACATGATGGTGGACTCAAGATACAATGTGAGACAATATATATTTTTAAAATTAAATGGATAATGGCGATCCAAAAAAAGTGAGGAGCCAGAACAGAATCGGTTACACCTCAAGGGAATAAAGAAATCAAGGTTGGCAGTCATAAATGGTCTTAGACATGGCAACAGAGAAAATAAGATTCAAAAAGATAACCAGGGACATTACATTATGCTTCAAGATATGATAGATAATGAAATAATACGAATATTTAGTATATGTACAGCAAATGGCATAATACCTTTGGATCTGAATAGAAAAGAAGAAAAGTTGGATGTAACACTGAAAATTATTACAAGACAGTTAAGAAGAATAAGCCTATTTCTCATCTTAGCCTGTGAAATTTATTAGGAATGACCATGTGATAGTGCATCCAGACTGGTCAGTACAGAATAGCAGGAAGATGCCCTGAGACTGACAAAATCATAAGTACAATCAACAACAGGCCTTAGGAGAAAAGATAGAAAGTGCAATGGAGAAGGGCCTTCTAGTACTGTGGACAGGGCATGCTCAGTCACAGGGTGGGAGTTCTAGTCTCAACTGCAAGGTTGTCGGTGAGGTCACTCGGCCATTATGAGCTCATGGCCTGAGTTGTGGAGGGTAATGAGATTGCTGGGCCTACCTGTGTCACAGGTTTGTTGTGAGGATCCCATGTTGTATTAAAGCTCTTTCTAAAAAAAACCATCTGGTAAACGTGACCAAATGGTGTTTCCAAAGATTGATTCTGCCTGTTTAAGTTTGAAAATTTTTCTTTGTCACTGAGGAAATAAAATATAAATCTGTTTACTTTCTGCCATCAGAGGAAAGAACATATTTATGTATGTGTGTGTCTTTCTGTGTATATATGATTGTTTTTTTTCAGGTGCAAAGACCAGGTTTGAAGTGAATGAGGTGACTACACAGCTGAGCATTTTTGTGGAAGAATGTGACCAGCAAAGATTCATGAGTGATGATCCCTGTGATTTCAATTGGAAAGAAATGAAAGAGAAGTTTTATAAATGTGATGAATGTGGGAAGGCTTTCTGCTACAGATCACTCCTTATTTGCCATCAGAGTATCCACACCGGAGAGAAACCTTATGAGTGTAAACTGTGTGGAAAGACTTCAGATAGAGCTTCAGATATAGCTTTACATCAGAGAATCCATACCAGGGAGAAGATCTATACATGTAATCAATGTGGAAAGGCTTTCAGATACAGCTCCAGTCTTGCTAAACATCAGAGATTCCACGAGAGAGAGAAACCTCATGAATGTGATCGGTGTGGAAAGACTTTCGGGAAGAATTCCCATCTTGCTGCCCATCAGAGAATCCACACTGGAAAGAAACCTTTTGAATGTAATCAGTGTGGAAAGGCTTCAGATAAAGTTTTGCGTCAGAGAATCCACACTAGGGAGAAAACCTATGAATGTAATCAGTGTGGAAAGGCTTTCACACAGAGAGCCAATCTTGCTTTGCATCAGAGAATTCATACTGGAGAGAAACCTTATGAATGTAATCAATGTGGAAAGGCTTTCACAAAGAGCTCGAATCTTGGTGTACATCAGAGAATGCATACTGGAGAGAAACCTTATGAATGTAATCAATGTGGGAAAGCTTTCAGATATAGCTCCAGTCTTACCGAGCATGAGAAAATCCACACTGGAGAGAAACCTTATGAATGTAATCAGTGTGGAAAGGCTTTCACACGGAACTCCCGTCTTGTTTTACATCAGAGAATCCACACTGGGGAGAAGCTTTTTGAATGTAATCAGTGTGGAAAAGCTTTTACACAGAGCTCTAGTCTTACAGTACATCGGAGAATCCACACTGGAGAGAAACCTTTTGAATGTAGTCAGTGTGGAAAGGCTTTCAGAGAAAGCTCTCATCTTGGTGCCCATCAGAGAATTCATACTGGAGAGAAACCTTATGAATGTAATCAGTGTGGAAAGGCTTTCAC